ATCAAGCACACTCTGCCTCAATTTTTTCAAGAGTAAAATGTTAAAAGCTTTGTGTGTAGTGGGCTTATAAGCTGGGTGCTCTAGATCTGCCTCTTCTGTGATTGGCAAGCATAATACCTGTGGAATAGTTCCATGTACTATACTTTAGCTTCTTATGGGGGAGGGAAAATGGGTACTGTATGAAGCACAGGAGCAGAAGTATTATTTCCCAAATGGGGTGCAGAGAACGAAGCTGAGAGTATGAGTAAATTGAAAAAGTTCTGGATTTTATTATGAATATCATGCATGAATATATTTGATTTTCTCTATTTTAAAAACATGTTTCATTTTTCTCCAGCAGTCCAACAGGAATCACGTTATCATGATGATCTGGCTTTTTCATTATGCTTATATCAGGGATCTGTTCCATTTTATTTGCCTGATTTATAACCACTTTGTCAGCACAGGTAGAGTGCATTGTAATGGTAACCAGCAGTTGGTCTGGTTTTTTTTTTTTTTTTCCTAAGTTATGTTGCAATGATGAGAGAGCCATTTTCACCAGGTCTTATGTAGCTATCACTTTGGGGGTAGACTTTTAAATTTTGGATTGTAACTACATAAAAAAACTCTCACCTATTTTATTTCAAACTCTCATTTCAATTGTACCCCTTTCGGAAAAGGAAGGATAAAATTTAGCTATCTCGTGGAGTAATCTAAAAATGTATTTTGATGGAGCTTTGATGTGTACATCACTTAACAGCTTTATAATCAATCAACTAAATTCTTTCTCTTCTGCAGATAAAGAATATGACTACCCCAGAAATAGCTTTGATGAACAGACTCCTAGAACAGATTCCTATTTGCTATTTGCATCTGAGCTACCTAATTAGTAAAAAGTTCCACTTACCTTTTAATTTGGTCAGGCAAGGTCTGGTATTGACATCACCTTCATAGTGGTTGTTATGGCTTGAAGATCATGCATTCTGGTCACATTGGGCACCAAACATAGGGAGCCCGGCCAAGAGTCCCGATAGTCTGTCTTAAGAGTACAGCAAGAAAAATAAAAAACAGAGACCAGTATAGTGATGCATCAATGGCTGGGAAGTCAGAATCTCCGAATGGGTTCATCTCCACTCCCAGGCAGCCACTATTTATTAGGTGTATACAGTGATAGGTGGGGCTAGCAAGGGATTACAATTCATCAGAAGACTCAGATTCAAGAGGGTATCTTAGAAGAATCTTATCTTGGAGTATAATCCTAGGATGACTCAAGAGAGTGTAGATGACCTTATGCTCAGAAGAATCTTGTCCTGGAGTACAATCCTAAAATGACTCAAGAAGGCAAAGATGATCTTATGCTTAGAAGTATCTTGTCCTGGAGTATAATCCTGGGATAACGCAAGAGGGTGTAGATGATCTTATGCTTAGAAGTACCTTTTCCTGGAGTACAATCCTAAAATGACTCAAGAAGGTATAGATTGATCTGGGCATGGTGGCTCACGCCTGTAATCCCAGCACTCAGGAGGCTGAGGTAGGAGTTCAAGACCAGCCTGGGCTACAAAGTGAGCTCAAGGCCAGTCTAAACTGCATAGCAAGACCCTGTCTCAAAAAGACAAAGAAGGTATAGGTGATCTTATGCTTAGAAGGATCTTGTCCTGGAGTATAATCCTGAGATGACTCAAGAAGGCATAGATGATCTTATGCTTAGAAGAGTCAATGGGAAATCTCAGGTGGGTGGTACCCATGATCCCAAACCTCCATTTTATCCCATAGGGAAGTATGCAGAATTAGCCATTATGAATTTTTGGTCCCCAACAAATTAAGAAATTGGACAAAAATATAAATAAATAAATAAATAAGAGACTGGCCAAAGATCTGAATAGATATTTATCTAAACAAGATACACAAATGGCTGATATGCACATTAAAGATCCATATTATTAATCATTGGGAAATGCAAATAAAAATCATAATGACATACTACTTTATCTTTGCAGAAGGCTGGAATCAAGACAAGATTAACAAACAGTATAGGATCCAGCAATTCCATTATTTACTTGAGAAATTAGGACACATTCATACAAAACTTGTATATAAATGTTCATGGATAGCAAATGGGAACCAGAAATCTGAGCATCTCCTGGGAGGTTGACCATAGCAAATAAGGGGGATTTCCTTCTACCATTTCTTTGAAAGCAAATATTTTTATTACTGTTTTGCTTTTTCCTGATTAATGGTACTGTTCTATTCAATATTCTGTTTTGATAAGTTCTGTAGTGTTCTATATTTCATCTCATTTTGATATACGGGATTGAAAGAACAACTATTATAAAGATAACAAAATATACTGTGATGCCTATTACTGTTATCACGGTAATCTGCTGTGAAGTTCTGTACCAATTTCACTGTACGATCTTAGTTGGCTTTATTCTGACTTGTTCTGTTGTATACTTTCAAAATAAAAATTAAAAAAAATAAATGTTCATGGAGCCATCATATGAATAATCCCAGCACTCGAGAGGCTGATGTAGGAGGATCACTACATGTTCAAGACCAGTCTGGGCTACATAATGAGACACTGTCTCAAAAAATTTTTTCATGGAAAAGCATTATTAATGAAAAGCACATATTTATCAACTACAGATGAAGAGATAAAACAAATGCAAAAAAACCCCCATAGAACCATGTACAGAAAAAAAAAAACAAAAAACCCCAAATGCAGTATACAATAAATATTATTCAAGCATACAAAAGAATACAAAATTGATACATGTTATAAGATGGACGAATCCTGAAAACATGCCAAATGAAAGAGCCTAGGTACAAAGGACATGTATTGTGGGATTTATATAAAATATTTGACTAGGATAATCCATAGAGAGAGACTTTATGTTAGTGGGCTGGGCTTGCTGGCACATTTTGTAATCCTAGCTCTTGGGAGGCTGTGACAAGAGGATCATGGATTCGAGGCCAGCCTGGGCCACACAGAGTGTTCATGGTCAGCCTGGACTACACAACAAGACCCTGCCTCAAAAAACAAAACAAACATGTACTAATGAAAATAAAAATTTAATAAAAGCAAACAACAGAAAGTAGATTAAAAGCTGCCAGCAGCAGGGAGGAGGAAATGGAGAGTAACGGCCAATGAGAATGAAGTCTCTCTCTCAGAAAAGTAAAACAATCTATAGAGTTAATATGATGGTAGTGTAACTCTGACTTAGACACTTTAAAAGGTGGACTTTATAATATATAAATTATGTATCAAGAAAAAAGAAAATGTATGCTAAAGTATGTGACTAAGGTGATAGAGAATTATGTCTTGAACTCCCAAATGGCTCAAGGGGAGAAAGTTGTATTTTTCTTTACAACTTTTCTATAAATTTGAATTATAGAATTCAAATTATAAAATGATGAATGATAATAGGACTGTATTATAGAACTTTTTTTCTTTTCCATTAAGTGCTTTTCACTCTTTATTTTCTTGTTTTTGTGATGCTAGAGATCAAACCCAGGGCCTTGAGCCCACCACCATGGAGTTACACCCTCAGCTCATGAACGGTTTTTAATTTATTTATTTATTTACTGTCTTTTTGAGACAGGGTTTCACTATGCAATTTAAACTGTCCTTGGGCTCACTTTGTAGCCTAGCTGGTCTCGAATTTGCAATGATCCTCCTGTTTTAGCCTTCTGGGTGCTGGGATTACAGGAGTGAGTCACCACACCCAGTTTGGTTTTTATTTTTTTTTTTTAATTTTTAAATTCTATTTTTCTGAGAAAGGGTCTCACTATATTGTTCAGGATGACCTTGAACTTACTATGTATATCAGGCTGGCCTCAAACTCAAGGCAACATTCCTGCCTCAGCCTCTCAAATGCTGGAATTACATGTGTGCACCATGTAATTACATGAGCTATGCCCAGCTCATGGGTGCATTTTAAAAATGGGAATTATTCATAGCCTGGTCTGCTGGTGTATACTTGTAATTTTAGCAGTGGGCAGTTGAGGCAGGAAGATGCTGAATTTGACTGTAGAGAGTTCAAGACCAGCTTAAATACACAGCAAGACCCTGTCTCAAAACAACAAAACAACAAAAAGTAAATCATTCATAAACTTTGAGCAATAACATTTAATGTAGAATTTGATTCTGAAAAAAAAAGACGTGTTCCTAACCTATAATATCTTATTCTATTCTTTCACAAGGAGAGGCAGCAATATAGCACAAAGTTATCATGCTTTGGGGTGAGACAGCACAGAGTGTACTATTATCTAGCTAATGACTTTGGGAAAATTACTCAGCTTCTAAGAGCCTCAATTTACTCATCTGTAAAATGGGAAAATTTTACTGTTGGATTCTGCACTGGGTGAAGAATACCTTCTGTTCCCTCAAGCTTATTCCTCAATCCCTGTTATTTAATAGCTGTGTTATGGCTTATTATTGTTCTTCACAGTAGGTTTAAAGTAGAGATAAATTTTATTACTTATTAATAATGCTAATAAGAGATTTAGTAGGAGCTAGGTATTGTGGGGCACACCTGTAATCATAGCATTTGGGAGACTGAGGCAGGAGGATCAAGAATTTGAAGGCAGCCTGGGTGCAGAGAGCTCAGGGCTGACCTGGACTATCCTCTCTCTCAAAAAAAGATTGGCTGGGGATTTAGCTCAGTGGCATAAGTGCCTGCCTGGTAAGTGTGAGATCAAAAGTTGGATCCCTGTTACCAAAAAAGTAAAAAAATAAAATACAAAAAGAAAAGATTTAGTAAGAAAGGGCATTGGCAAAACTATTTGGAAGCTACTTAGAAATCTCAGTTGTCTATTGCCAAAATCACAACGTCATTTTAGTACAGTAAGCAAGGTCATGTCATTAAGTACGGCCAGTTCTTAGGCAGACACTATCAGAGAATAGGTAAAAACGAAATTGTCCCCTTAAACTTTAATGAGACAAGAGCTGTATCTCAGATCTCTGATCCCTAAGGCATTAAGACAACAATGCCAAGCTAATTTGCAATCTACTCAGTACCTACCATTTGCGTGCCATGCTGCGACAGAGGACATGGCTGGGCACCAGCTGGCACTGTGTACACTGGCGTTACTGACAAACTGGCAGGATGGGCACACACGAAATGCACCTGCACAGTTTCCACAGCTGGACTTGGGTTCAGAACACTCGGGTGATTTCCAATTCGGAAGGTAAGAACCTTTAATGAAAGACCAGAGCAAGAGGAAACTGTTGATAGAGACATCTTTTGTCAGTCATGCCAATATCAGCGTGTCAGAATTATTTAAACCGCACTGTAGAAAATCCCTTTGAACATTTTTAAGGCAGGGTCTTGCTACGTAGTTCACTATGGCCTTGAATTCACTATGTAGCCCAGGCTGGTTCCAAGTTATGGTGATCTTCTGCCTCAGCCTCTCAAATGCTGACATTACAGGGATGCATTACCCAGTTCATTCTTACTAGTTCATATTGCAAACTAGAGGAACTACCTTTAAAAGGAAAGCTAATTCAACTGATATAGGATAAAATATTTAGTCCTATTATCAGTGCAGATCTGATTCTTCAAAATTGCTAACCATAGAACACACTGTAAATTATTTTTTTTAGCATTCTTTGAAAATAGGAAACCAAATATCCTCTAGTGTAGACAAGGAAATGATAGTGATAAAATGACTGAATATAATGTGAAATAAACTCACTACTACAAAGTAATCTAGAACTGCTTAGTGAGCTGTTAAAATTCTCAGATGAACAAACTGAAAAGAAACCACTGGGTATGTTTATTTTTTGTTTTTGTTTTTTCTTTGAGATAGGGCCACACTGTGCAGTTCTGGCTGGACTTGAACTCACTATGTAGCGAAGGGTGGCCTCAAACTCACAGCAATTTTCCTGCCTCAGCCTCCCAAGTGCTGAGATTACAGGTGTGTGCCACCATGCCTGGCACCACTAGGTACATTAGGCATACATAGGCATACACACTAGGCATACACTAGGTATAGAACAGTAATATTTTTTAAATGCTCTATTCAATACTTACAGTTTTTCTATATAATTCATAAACTAATCCACTGGAATCTGGAAAAGAGTGGCTAAAAGTACAAAAGACTTGGAGAGTTACTCTACTAAAAGAAATGTTAAGGCTGAGGCAGGAGGATTATTGCAAGTTTAAGACTAGTCTGCACTGTAAAGTGAGCTCACAACCAGCCTGAACTGCATAGGGAGAACATCTCAAAAGACAAAAAAGAAGGAGGAAGAGGAGGAGGGGGAGAAAGAGCAGGAAGAAGAGGAGGAGGAAGAGGAAGAGGAAGAGGTTAGAAAAAGACAATTTTCCTACTTGTTCCCCTAAATCCAGGCACAGGACTTGGTATATGTACTGGTTCTGTTTCCTCTTAGCTGGCAGCCGGACTTCTGTTATTTCAATCTTCTCTGTCTTCTCTGTGCTCAGCTCCAGAAAAAATCGGGAGGGTTCCAAGATCCACGGACGCGGACCTCCTTCAAACACCATTTCCTTCATGGAATGCCATGACACCAACGCCACTTCCACAGGATTTACAGCCTGATGACATTTAAAGAAATGAATCCCTGACTGTTAAGAGAGTTCAACAGTGGTTTGCCTTATGTTCCTTTCTTCTTGAGTGAGGGTGTCATTCTGCTGCCCATGCTGGCCTTGGACTGCTAGACTTGGGATCCCCCTGCTTCAACCTACAGAGTAGGTCAGGACTACATGTATACAGACAATGCCTGGTTCAGTGGCTTTTAAGATGAAAAATTAGTTTTAGCTTGTGTTTAGTTTTTTTGAGACAAGGCTTCACTATATACTTTATGCTGATCTAGAACTCATGGTGATTCTCCTGCCTCAGCCTCTGGAATTCTGGGATTATAGGCTGATAACAGCATGCCTAGTGAAAAACTAGTTACCTGAATATACTGAAATGTTGGTAGACTTTCCCAAATTAAGAGACATGTATGTGATGACCCTCTGTTGAAATACTTCTCAAGCTTATACTAAATAGACCTTATTGATCATTCATTCAGGTCTAGCTGATGTATTACCTAATCTGTTAAATTGGTCTAGTCTTTTCAAACCATAACCACTTCTGTATCCTCCACTATCTACTCTGCTATGTATTATAATATATACTACTGTGCTCTCATTATAATAAAACAACACACACACACTCAAAAAACAAGACAACAAAAAACCAAAATAGTGGGGTTACAGATGTAACTTAACTCTTTAGGGGGAGAGAGTATATTGTTTACTGTTTATGTGTGTTACTGGGAATTGAACACAGGGGCTCTCGCAGGCTATATAAACACTCCATCCCTGAGCTATTCTTCCAGCTCCTTTTACTTTTTATTTTGAAGGAGGGTCTTGGTAAATATCCAGGCTGGCTTTGTTTTGTTTTTTGTTTGTGTTACCAGGGATCAAACGCATGACTTCTGAGTTGCCAGGCTGTGCTGCTGAGCTATAACCCTGGCTCCCTGCTGGCTTTGCATTTGAAGATTCTCTTACCTCAGCCTCCTTAGTGCTGGGATTACAGTATGTGCCACTACTCCCAGCTATGCCTGGCTACCTTATTTTTTATATTTTTCTCCTCAGCAGGGTTTAGTTCAATGCTCTACACTAAAAGGTATTTTTTAAATAACTGCATAAACCAGGCATGGAAATATATGTCTGTAATCCCAGCTACTCAGTTACGCAGGAGTTCATAAATTGTAGGCCAGTTTGGACAATTCAGTGAGAACTTATCTCAAAAATTTTTTTAAAAAGTAAATAAACTGGATGTTGTGGTACACACTTGTAATTCTAGCACTCAGGAGGTGGAGGCAGTTGGATCACCTCAAGTTCAAGGCTAGCCTAGGCTACTGAGTGAATTCAAGGCCAGGGAGACCTTGTTTCAAAAAAAACACCCCAGTATCACACACACATACAAAAGAGTACAAATGCTAAAACAAGACACAAGGCAGAGTGCCATACAGGCCTTTTACAGAAGAAATAAATAGAAAAAATGAACCTTGCAAAGATTTCATGGAGGGCCTCCTGATAGAGGTTATTCCTTTTTTCTAGTTGTGTAGCCCAATATTTTCCTTTTTTAAAATTTGGATCTTGTGGTGCTGATGATCAAACCTAGGGCCTTGAGCATGCCAGGTAAGTGCTCTACCTCTGAGCTATACCTCTGCCTCCAAAACCATATAATTTTACATGTTTTTAACAGCAGATAAAGGGAGAGATGCATGGCTAATTATTAGATAGAAAAAGGAAATCATTCTTTCCTTTAAGTATGTTTTACATTCAAGGGAGATCTAATGTGGATATGCAGTAAGCACGAAATAAAACTAAGGATAAAAGCAAGAAAAAATGTAGCAGTGTAGGGGTGCATGCCTGGAATCCCAACACTCTGGAAGCCAAAGCCAGGAGTGTGGTACATTTGAGACCAAGGTGGGCAATTTAGCGAGACCTTGTCTCAAAATAAAAAAAAGGTCTGGGGATATAGTTCAGTAGGAAGGCCTGAGCTCAAGCTTCAGTAAAAAATAAATAAAAAAGGAAGGAAGAAAGGAACGAAGGAATGAAGGAAGAAATGAAGGAAGGAAAGAAGGAAAGAGGAAAAGAAGGAAGGACCTAATGGTACTACAATGAGCCATGCCAGGCAGTTTCACTTTATTTGGTGGTTATTTTCGAGATAGGGTCTCACAGTGAAGGCTGGCCTTATACTCGCTTATGTAGCCCAGACTGGCCTCAAATTTGAAGCAAATCTCCTGCCTCAGCCTCCCAAGTTCTAGGATTAGAGCCATATGACCACACCCAGCTTTCTTGCTTGCTTTTTTTTTTCTTTTGGTACTGGGAATTGAACTTAGGACCTCATCTTGCCAGGCAGGCGCTGTGCCACTGAGCTGTATCCCCAGTCCCAGCATTATTTCTTATTTTTACTTTTTCCTAATAAACTATACCTCAAAACTTAAAAAATTAATAATTTGTCTTGATTATTTCATTATTGTTAATTTATTCCTTGTTTCAAGAGGCACTGAGTCTGGATTTGTCAGTATCTAATGTGAGAACTTGCAAACATCAATTTTTATTTTATCTTATTTTATTTATTTTTTAAACATCCATTTTAGCACCTGATTGAATCAAATATGTAGAAAACATGCCAAATTCTGTCTCCTTTTATTCTGAACCACTTGTACTGTCTTCATTATAACATAATGGACCAATGCTTAGGGCTAAAACTAATGGCGACTCTATTGAAGAGCCCTAAGTACCCAGGATAAAAGACAACTGACTTCCTCTTGTAGGACAGAAAAGTCACCTTTTAGTGTTCTTTAAAAGGACATGTGCTAATATTAAATGTCTTCATTGTTGTCGAGATATACACATAGGTATAAAACAGCAGTTAAAATTAGAGTACTTTATATATTACTGAGATATATTTTATATCTCAGAAAAAAGAGAGAGCTGGATGTGGTGGCACACATCTGTAATTTCAGCAATCTGGGAGGCTGAGGAAGGAGGATCACAAGTTTGAGCCCATGCTGGGCAACGCAGTGACTTAGTGAGACCCTCTCTCAAAATAAAAACAAATAAGAGAAGGCTTAAGGTTCAAACCCAAGTGCCACAAGAATAAGAAGCCAAAGAAAAAAGGGAGGAAGAGGAAAAAGAACAGGAGGCAGGAGCAAGAAGAGAGGAGAAGGAAGAGAAGGAAGGAGGAAAAGAAGAAGAAAGGGAGAAATAATTAAAATTTAGTGATATATACTGAAGATATTCCTGAATATCTTAACTCAGGAAGCACAAAGTAGAAGCATAAGAGCTTCTTGAAGCTCAATTTTACAACAGACTTTAGGTCTAAAAACAAAATAGTAGCTGAATGTGGTGGTGCACTCAGGAGGCTAAGGCAGAAGGTCACCATGAGTTCCAGGCCAGTCTGGGCCACATAGTAAGTTCAAGGTCAGTTTGAACTACTCAGCAAGACTCTGTCTCAAGCAAAACAACATAACAAACAACAACAATAAACAAATAAAAACAAAATCCAAAACACACACACCCCAAAACCAGAACAACAACAAAATAACAAAATAGTACATCTACATATGCAGTTTAGTGGTAGAGTGCTTGCTTTGCATGCATAATACCATGGGCTTGACCCACAGCATCTAAATACTAAAGGAAGGAAGACTCAAAATTACCACCCATCTTGAGCAGAGATCATTGATAGCCAGGTAGCTGCTCGGTGCACATAGCTGGATCCATGCAAAGAAAACACAGTGCTGTGCTACGGAAGATCCTACCTTCAGGGTCTCATAAGCAGCAAAGGTGGCACTGCTGTGCAAGTGCTCCTCATGTTCACTCACTCTCACCGTGACCAGAGTGTGGCCTAGCGATCTGGCTGCTATGTGTATACTGGAGCAGTGCATTGGTCCAGGTCTTTGAATACCTTTGAAACAAAAAACATGACTTCAGTAAGGAAGTAGGTGGTCAGATCTCAAGGAAGTTAAGTTACATAAATAAAATATTTATTTTTTATATATTTTTTAGTACTGGTATTGAAGGTAGGGCCTCTGCACTGAGCTACATCCCCAGCCATTTTTTAAACTTTTTATTTCAAGATCCAGTCATGCTGAGCTACCCAGGCTGGACTTAAACTTGCAATCTTCCTGCCTCAGTCTCCTAGAGTTTTGGGACTACAGATGCTTAGGATGTTGACCTTTATGAAGAGGTTATTAATATTTTTTCATTAGAAAAAGACATTTCTATTTTAAAAAATAAATGATATATACATATGGACATTAAATGGCATTATTCTCTTAGAAAAATGGTATATATTAAAGCAAGTAGATGTGACGGTGCATGCCCATAATCCTGGGTGTTCTGGTTCATGAGTTTGAGGAGAGCCTATGCAATTTAGCAAGATGATGTCTGAAAATTTAAAAAGCTTTTTAAAGTACTAAGGATGTACCTTAGTCTAGAATGCTTCTGTAACAAGCACAATACCCTGGGTTCAATTCCCAGTGCAGGAAAAAAGGAAAAAAAGGAGAAAAGAACTTGCGTATGGAAATGTGTTAGTAGGAGCAAAATCCCAGTATCATTCACCCATAACATTATTCAGTTTCTGTGTCTTTCTTTCTGCACTTGTAAATTAAGTAGAACAATACTTTCTTCAAGGAAATTGACAACATAAATAGAATCATTATAATGTTATGGTGGACATATTGTGTCAACTTGAGAAGTCCAGAAGCTTAACTAACTCAGCAGCTCTCCATCCCGGGGTATAGAGGACATGCTGTTACTTCTGAAGAATAGTGTCCATTGTGTCAATTTGAGAAGCTAACAAGTTTAAGTGATTCAACAGGGAGTCAGGGCCCTTATTTCGTGAACATCCTCAGCCTGTACAAGAGGAGGGCACAGGGATGGTATGAGTGCTACATTCACCTAAAGGATGTAGCCTACTTACAACATAAAGGAGGAAAAGAAGCTTGCTCTTTGTCTGCTTCTGACCTTCTTGTTTGATATGTTCTTCCATACTGCCCCAGTGCCATGCCACTCTGCCTTTGGGCCAGCTGACTATGGAATGAAACCTCCACAAACTGTGAGCTAAATAAACCTTTCCTTCCTTCATTTTAGGTGTCAAGTATTTTGTCATAGCAATGAGAGAAAGGTGACCAAGACATATGAGAAAGTAACTGTGTGAATTTAGATTATATTTAGTAGTTTCTAAATTGATAGTTCATCCCTTCATTCACAGACAAAAAGAAAATAAAAAGTAGTCTTTTTCTTCCCCTTCCTCCTCTTGCTTCTCCTCCTCTGCTTCATCTTCATCTTCATCTTCTTGTGGCATGGGTGTTTGAACCCAAGGCCTTCAAACTCAAGGATGAGCCACATCCCAAGCCCTTCACTTATTTACTAGTCTTACCTCCTTCAAAGAGAATGAAGACTCCTTGCTTATCCATGTGGAGATCCACAGGTAAATGAGAGCAGTCTGTGAATGCCATAGCCTGCTTAGTCTCATTAACATGATACATTGCGATGGGGATTTCTATGGTCTGGCCAATCTCCACATCAGCATGGAAGGGTAGCAGTTCCATTTTGTTCAGCTTCAGGACATACACCTGGGGGATAAACAATTGGTCTTTTAGAGAAATATTAGAAGAAATGATCTCTTAAACATTTAAATGCCCACATGTGAACATGTATAATATATATGTATATGTATGTGTTTCATAAAACACGTGTCATTCATATTATATACAGTTGATTGGTCTTCCATATTGATGGATGCAGATGTTTGAAAATATCCAAAAAAAAAAAAAAAAAGCACCTGTGCTGAACATGTAGACCTTCTCCACTGTCATTATTGCCCAGACAGTACAGCATGACAAATATCCCCACAGTATTGACACTGCAGTAGGTATAATGAATCTAGAAATAATTCAAATTATGTGGAATGATTGCATAGGCTATATGCAACTACTGTGCCATTTTATGTAAGGGACTTGAATATCTACAGACTTTTGCATCTGAGGGGGTCTGGGAGCCAATTCCCTATGTACCCTGAGGAATGACTGCCTACTATTTTCCCTACACACATAAACACATATGATAGGTGCCAAATATGTCTCTATTTTCATCCTTTAATTCTTTAAGGCGTCTGATATCATACAGCAGGGGTCTGGCAAACGATTGCCAGTACGTGACCTGTCTGTAATTATACAGACAAGTCAAGAATGTTTTTTGTTCTTTTTTGTTGGTGCCAGGGTTTGAACCCAGGGCTTTGCCCACATAAGGCAAACACACTACCATGAAACTATATCCCCTTTCACATTTTGTTTTGTTTTTGAGACAGGGTTCAGGGTGGCCTTGAGCTCACTTTGTAGCCTGGGCTGGTCTTGAACTTACAACAATCCTCCTGCCTCAGCTTCCTGAGTGCTGGGATTACAGGTATGCACTACACACCTGGCTCACATCGTTGTTGTTTTTTTTTTTCTTTTTTGAGACAGGGTCTTGGTATGCAGTTCAGGCTGGCCTTGAGCTTACTTTGTAGCCCAGGCTGGTCTCGAACTTGCAACGAGCCTCCTGCCTCAACCTCCAGAGTGCTGGGATTACAGGCATGAGCCACTACACCCGGCTTCTGGCTCACATTGTTAAAAGAACTATAAAATTAACAACTGCAACCACAACAAAAAGATTATGTTAGATTGTATGTGACCTACAAAGACTAGTGTATTTGGAGCACTCTCCTTTTCATTGGGGGAATGCCAGAGACTGAACTCAGGGCACTGTTCATACTAAGTATGTACCCTGTAACTGGGCCACAAATCTAATCCCATCCACTTTTTTTTTTTTTGGTGCTACCAGGGATCAAACTCAGGACCTCACCTTCACCAGGCAGGCATTTACACCACTGAGCTAAATCTCTGGCCCCTCATTCACTTTTTAAATATATTTTATTTTGTTGTTTTTGTCACTTTGTTTCTTCTGCTAGTTTTTGGGTCTATCTTTGTCCCTTAAAATGACACGTTACACAGAATCTATCTTCCCTTCTGACCCTCTATGATCTTCCTGGGAAATCTTATGGTTCTAAAATTTCATTTACCAACTATACACTGATAATTCATCGCCCTTAATGTAATCAATCTCTTTTTCTCTCTGTCCCCTCCTCTCCTCTCCTCTCCTCTCCTCTCCTCTCCTCTCCTCTCCTCTCCTCTCTCCCCCCACTTTGAGACAGGGTCTTACTGTGCAGCCTAAACTGGCCTTGAACTTGTAGTGATCCCCCTGCCTCAGCCTCCCAAATGCTGAGATTATAGGCATGTGCCACCACACCTGGCCATAAACATCTACCTAGATACTCCATAACCACCCTAAACATATCTAAAGCTGAATTCATCATTTTTGCAACTCTTTTTTTTCAGTGTGGGAGACTGAACCCAGGATCACTGTGTTGCATTCCCATCCCCATACTGGGGACTGAACCCGGGGCCTTTATCTTCACAATGAGCTATATCCCATCCCTTTTTATTATTCTGAGGCAGGGTCTCACTAAGTCACTAAGTTACCCAGGCTGGGCTCAAACTTTTGATCCTCCTGTCTCCGTCTTCCGGAATGCAGGGATTCTAGATGTATACTACTGTGCCTTCTTGTATTTTTTCTCTATACTGCAGCTGAAACTAGAAACCTCACACTCTCTGGCTTTAAATCCTTCACTCTCTCTCATTCAATGGGGCATCAAATCTGATTAAGTCTAACTATAAAACAAACCCCTCATTTTGTCTACTTCTGTTTATTCTCAATACCATTTCACTAGTTTGGGCTTAACTGGGATTTTGTTTTGTTGCTCTTTGCAGTGTTGGGGATTGAACCTAAAATCAGTATGCTAGGCAAGCATTCTGTCACTGAGCTACACCTCAGCCTTAATTCTTCTCACCTTCACTTACCCCTTTTAGTTCACTCTAGACTCTCCTACTAGTCTGTAGCACCAGTTGCTATCTTGGTTTTCTTAAAATTATAATTATTCTTGCCTGCTTATAAAAACTGTGAGGTATCTTTCTGAACATAGGCTTTACCATATTTGGCTAATATAAAAACCAGTGATGCTCTCTACTGTGTAGAATAGGGGTTGGCGAATTCTTTCTATAGAGGCCAGAGAGTAAACACACGCACACAGGCTGCAAGGTTGCTGCGGCTATAGTGCCGAGACCTGAAAGCAGCTACAGGCAGCAAAGTGGGGAGCCGATGAAATGTCCTTTACCACGACGGCAGCAGTCTGGATTTGGGCCCTAGGCATTGGTTTGCTTCCTTCTTCCAGAGTTTTATTCAAGTTCTCACCTTTCATGACAGGCTCTAACACTAGTGGTGCTGTCCACAAAGATTCTTCCTTTATAAACAAGTAGCGCTTTTCTGACTGAAGCATCTATCAGTCAAATACTCCTTTAAAACACTTCATACTGCTAGCTGTGGTAGCACATGCCTGAAATCCCAGCATTTGAGGCTGAGGCAGGAAAGTCTGAGAGTTCAAGGCCAGCCTGGGCTACAAAGTGAGTTTCAAGGCCAGCCTCAACTGTATAGTAAAACTGTCTCAAAGAGACAAACACACCAAAATTATATATAGTAATTATAAGAAAAAGAGCTACCATTAAGTATTGAATATATGCTATGCACCATGTTAAACATTATAATCTGGTTTGGTTTATCTTATTTTATTCTGACAGGTTATTATGAGATTAAACTTGATGTGAACATTATCCTCATTTTAGAGAGGAGAAAATAGACACTGATGTTAAATGAGTGGTTACTTTTTGTTATTTATTTTATTTTGATTTTTTTTGAGATAAGGTCTCACTATGTAGTTCAGGCTGGTCTTGACCTTACTATGTATGTAGCCCAGGCTAACCTTGACCTCATAGCCTGTCTCAGCCTACCAAGTACTGGGATTGTAGGCATGCACCACCATAACCTGCTTAGTAAATGCTTATTAAATGAAGCAGAATTTAACCCAGGTTCAGAAACATTTAAGTAACATATACTTTCAGACCAAATTTAGCTGGAGATTTAGCTCAGCAGCGTAAGTGTCTGCCTGGCAAGCACAAGGTCATGAGTTTGATCTCCAGTACAAAAAAAAGAAAAAAAAAAAAAGAAAGAAAGAAAAAAGAAAAAAGTTATTTCAGATCAAATTTAAACAATATTTTTATATAGAAAAATTGGACCAGACATATTTTCAAACATAGGATTATATGTAGTTTTAAGCACTTACACACTTAGCAATGATTCCAAAGTAAAGAAGTTTCCCTGGAGTCACTTACCTTCATTTCCCCATACCGATAGGGATTTTGTACATCTCGGGCCCACACTGTGCTGTTCCCCTGAACTCGACCTGCAGTCACTTCTCCTCGGGGGCTTACCGTGGCCACTGTTTCATCAGAAGAGGTCCAGGTGAAGTTGCCACTACCACCCTCTACCTGGGAGAAAGCATAACTCTATATTCAATGACTATAGAAGGAAAAAGGAAATTTAAGTGAAAATGTAAAGCTTGAGTGGTTAAACAAGGATTAAGAATAACACTACATAGCAAGTTACTTCTGTATAGATTAAGAAACTGCTGAGTTGCCAGGCAGGGTGCTGCATGCCTGTTACCCCAGCACTCAGGAGGCTGACACTGGAGGATTGTCACATGTTCCAGGCCAGCCTTGCTCCATAGTGAGCTAAAGACCACCTTGAACTACTGTGTCTTAAAAATCAAACAAAAGGGCCAGGGATTTAGCTCAGTGGTACAAGCGCCTGCCCAGCAAGCACAAGGTCATGAGTTTTGATTCCCGGTACAAAAAAAAAAATCAAACAACAAAAAGTAGGGGGTTTGAGGAGCTGGACATAATGTTACATCATTCTAGGAGGCTGAGGCAGGAGGATTAAAACTTTTATGTTCCTCCCAGGGAATTTAGCCAGACACTATCTTGATTCCCAGTATTACCACAAAAGAAAAAAAGAATAGGCTAAAAGGTTACTTAATAAAACTTTATAAAATTCATAAGGAAAGGATATATTGGAGACAGACAGATGTTACAGGTGATAACACTTAAACTGATAATATGGCGGTTACCAAAGACTGAGGGTCAAACAAGGCATGGTGGTACACACCTGTAATCCCAGCACTACAGAGACTAAGCCAGAAGAACTGCCACAAGTTTGAGGCCAGCCTGGGCTACACAATGAGTTCAAAGCCAGCTTGAACTGCACAGTGAAACCCTATCTCAACAAAACAGACTGGGGCTCAGGAGAAAAAACAGGCTGGTGACTCACACACATAATCGCAGCATTCAGAAGACTGGGGCAGGAAGATCATCATGAGTTGGAGACCACTCTGAAGAGTGAGACCCTGCTTCTCCCCCACTCCCGCAAACAAACAAACAAAAAAAAAATGGGAGAAATAAAATTTAACATTAACGAAATTTTGATGAACTAACGTATCAGAGAAACTGAGTTTTGTCTTTGCAAATTATTCTAGACACCGTACCTGTACTTGATAGCGATGTAACACTCCCCAAGGATGATAAGGAAATGCCAGAAAGTTAGGTGTAAACTTGATGGGAAAATAAATAATCACTTCTTGTTTGTGTTGGATCAGAGGCTTGATAGGTTGAATACTGTTATTCTATAGAAACAAAAAAAGAGCAAAATAGATTTTATAATCATTGTTTTTATGATGTACATTCATATACATTGAGAACATCAGCAAAATGCTATGCTAATAAATATTTCAACCATTTTCTATTTATAAAAATAAATATTCATATTCATTACAGAAGGATAACTACTATGGCTCAATAATAATAAAAAGGATTTTGCTAAAACTACCACTATTAGAAGAAATAGTTTAAAATTTCATGAAATAAAAGTTTTGCTAAGATAGGAGAGGACTTATAATTCTAGAAAGACCCTTCAGTTAAATTCATACCCATCAGTTAAATTCATAAAATTATAAATGCAGAGAAATATTACAAATTAGAAGAAAAATATAGAACATTTCAAAGTACTGGGGTGACTGGGTGTGATAGAACACACCCATAATCCCAGCATTTGGGAGGCTGAGGCAGGAGGATCACTGGGAATTCCAGACCAGCCTGCTACAAAGTGAGTTTAAGGCCAGCCTTAACTGCATAGTGAAACCCTGTCTCAAAAAAAAGGTTGGCTAAGACATTCCACTTAGGGGGCTGGGGATTTAGCTCAGCGACATAAGCACCTGCCTTGCAAGCAGGCGGTTGTGAGTTTGATCCCCGGTACCGATAAAAATGAAAAAGAAAAAAAAAAAAAAAAGACATTCCACTCAGGTTTTAGTCTGTTTTGTGCTATTTAATTTCAAGATATATGAAGATCTGGACTGCTATTTTGAAGAGAACATTATGGCAGCCATTGTTAATTTTCCTATTGTCTGGTTTTGAAGGCCTGTAATTTTCATTACTCTGTTCTGATCAGTTTTATTCTATTTTTTTGGGGTATGAATTCATTGTGTGTTAAGATATAGACTATTTAGAAGAAAATAAGAGACATTATGGTAGGCACTGTTGATCTCCTGCTGTCTTGCTTTTAAATCTGTGTCACTTACGTAGTTTTTTTTTTGATCTGCTTTGCTCTGTTTTGTTTAGTTTTACCCTCTTTAAAAAAAAGACATTCCACTCATACTTAAAAATAAATATATGGTATAAGTAAAAATCTGTACAGGTAAAATGAAGTCCTTACATGATTATGTTGACATTCTCCCTTTCAAGGCAAAGTCAGTCATCAATATATCTACCTATCATTAATTTACCATTCTTTTAAGAAACCCTGAAATATTTATCAATAGTATCACATCGGCAACGATGGCCCTGATATTATTAGGTACACATGTATGTATGTATGTGGTACTACAGTTTGAACCACGGCCTCCCAAATGCTAGGCAAGTGTTCTACCAAGGAGCTACAAACCCAGCCGTGCTTTTTTCCCATTTCATTTTGACAAGTTCTCACTAAATTGCCCAGTATGTCCTCAAATTTGTGATCCTTCTGCCTTGAGCTCACAAGTAGCTAGAGTTGCAGGTGTGCACCACCATATTCAGTTTCTCCTCACTCTCTTAAGGTAGTAAATCATAAACTAAAAATAAACCTTTTAGTTGAAAAAACAATATTTTAGCTCACTGAGATTGATTTTCCACTTCAGGCCTCCAAAACTGTAAGATAATAAATTGTGTTGATTTAAGCCAAAAACAAAATAAAACATGAGTATCATTCTTATTTTAAAAACATTTTCTTAAAGTATCATTCTTGTCAGTATCTATTTTAGGTGAACACTAAGAGGAACCAAGAAGGAATCTACTGGGGGTACAGATCACGTGCCGAGTCTGGGTAGAATTCTTTTTTTCTTTTTCTTTGTCTTTTTTGGTACCAGGGATCAAAGTCATGACTTTGAGCTTGCCAGGCAGGTACTTTCTTTTTTTCTTTAAATGGTCCTGGAGATTGAATTTAAAACTTTCTACTATCTCCAATGGCACCTCCACCCTCTTTTAAGTTTTCCTAGGCTTTGACTGAACTAGCATAAGTATCGTTAATTCACTTAACAAATACTTATTTGTACCAAATATGTCAGTTACTCTGCTAGATGTCAGGGAAATAGTTGTGAACAAAGTACACACAGCCATTACTTCCAAGTCTATAATCTGATGAAAGATATAAATAATAACATTAAACATGATGATTATGGTCCTATACATTGAGCAGGGAGTGTCAGAAACAAAAGGAACTACATTGTTTTACAAGAATAAAATTTAAAAAATGGAAATAAAATTTATAAGGCACAGTGGAACAAAGCATTTTCTGGGAACCAAAAGTTCATACAGCTGCATGTGGTAGTGTATGCTTGTAATTCTAGCACTTGAGAAGCTGAGGCACCAGAACTATGAAGAATTCAAGGCCAGTTTGGGCTATGTAGTGAATTCAAACCTAGTCTGAGGTACTGCATGAGACCCTGTTTTTTTTTTTTTTTTTTAAAGCCAGTCGGGCTGGGGATTTAGCTCAGGGGCATAAGCACCTGCCTTGCAAGTGCCTGTTGTGAGTTCGATCCCCAGTACCAATAAAATTTAAAAAATTTTTAAAAAAAGAAGTTGCTAGGCCAGTCATGAGTCAAATGCATATAGGTACCAGGTACATAACATAAATTGGGTTATTAAATTGGATGAAAATAATCAGGAAAAATTGGGTGTGGTTGTACACACTTATAAACCCAGCACTAGAGAGACTGAGGCAAAAGAATTATGAGGTCAATGTGGCCTGCACAGTGAGACTGTCTCAAAAACAGAACAAAACAAAGCAAAAATGAAGCAAATAGCAACAAAAGGGAGTAATAGGAATGATAGCTGACTAAGAAGCATAATCCACCTGGTATCATTTTGTATACCTGTAACTATAGCATTTGGGAGGCTGAGGCAGGATTATTTTGAGTCCAAGGCCAGCCTAAATTACACAGTCAGGACCAGGAATTTAGCTTAGCTACATAAGCACCTGCCTGGCAAGCATGAGGTCCCTGGCAAGCAAGAGGTGTGAGTTTGACTCCAGTACCAAAATAAATTAAAAAATAACATCAGTGAGGCTGGGCATAGTGTCCCACGCCGATAATCTCAGCACTTAGGAGGCTGAGACAGGAGGCTGCTGCAAATTCAAGGCTAGTCTGGGCTACAAAATGAGTTCAAAGTCAACCTAAACAACATAGTAAAACTCTGTTTAAAAAAAAATAGGGGCTGGAGATTTAGCTCAGCGGCATAAGCGCCTGCCTTGTAAGCAGGCAGTCGTGAGTTCAATCCCCGGTACCGATAAAAAGGAAAAAGACCAAAAAAAAAAAAAAAAAAAAAACCCAAAAAAACAACAACAAAAAACCCCCAAATAAGTAAGTAAATAACTATCAGTTCAAGGCCTGCCTGAACTACAACCCAAAACTCTTATCTCAAAAAACAAACAAGACAACAGGAAAGCACAATCTAAATGGTGAAGCCCCTATCTGTTTCAGGTAATTGTTGTTAGATATTCATATGTTTTAGAAGGCCGTAAGTTATATTTGAAAGTTCCCATATATATACACAAGAAACTTCCCAATTAAAAAGAAATTTATAAGCCACGCATGGTGGCCCATGGCTGTAATCCCAGGACTCAGTATGCTGAGGCAGGGGAATCACCATGGGTTCAAGGGCAGCCTAAACTACATAGCGAGACCTTGTCTCAAACAATCTAAATAAGTAAAATGAAATAAAGAACAACAACAACAACAACAAAAATAATAGAAAAATAAAAAAGAAAGGAACCAGATTAATTCCTCATATCTTTACCTAGTAACTCTACTTCTTATATTATGCCATATGAAAATTAACCAAAAATAATAATATACACAGATACTCAATTATGACTACAGTAAAGAACTGGAAATGAAGTTCACTGTTTGGGACAGGGCTGAATAAAATGGCATATTAATCCTTAGGCAGGTGTTTATTTATCTATTTATTTATTAGCAGTACTAAAGATTGAACCCAGAGTCTTTGCAATGAATGATGCCACCAACCCTTTTAAAATTTTTTTATCTTTTTTTATAAAGAGAATAAAACAAAGCAAAACAAAGTAGAGCAGAGCAAAATAATGCAAGTAACATAGGATTTCAGAACAAGACAACAGGAAATCAACAATGGCTATCATAATGTCTCTTGTTTTCTTTGAAATAGTTGTCATACCTTCATACACAATAAGTTTTTATTGCTTTTATACTGTTTTGATTTGTATTAAATTTTTTTTATCTTGAGATAGGTTTTCCCTAAGTCATTTTGTTGCTCAGGGTGGTTTAAGATCCTCCTGAGTCAGTATTAACCATGCCCAGTTAATACTTTGGAATATCAGAATAAAAGTGCCTTTTAATAAAAGTTCTGATATTCCAAAGTGGACCTTACAGAAAATATGCATATGAATTTTTTTGAGACAGAGTCTTGCTATGTAGTTTAGACTGTGAACTTACTCTGTAACCCAGACTGATCTTGAACTCATGGCAATCCTCTTGCCTCAGCTTCCTGAGTGTTAGGATTACAGGCTTGCGCTAGCATGCCTGGCTTGAAGTAATTGTATGAAAGAATTTCAAATGACATACACAATGATCACAAATGCAAAATTATGCACAACAAAGTTTGAAATGGAAAATTTAAAGTGTAAAGTGCCAAGATTACTGTTTATCAGTTTGTTTCTTATTTTGTACAACACAAGGGAAGTATGTATCATATCTGCTTGTAAATCAAGTCAGCTAAACATCTTCATTATTTTAACTTACAAAGACATTCTTTTAATTCCTACCTGGTGAACAATGGAGGTCAGGGATGCATCTATCTCTACCACACCAGCTTTCAGCACTTTTACTACATGGTAAGATCCATTCACAGTAGTTAGCTGCTCTTTGAAGTACTCCGATAGAAAGTTGTATGTAATTCTCAGATTCTGAAATTAGCCCAACAACAACACAAACCTAAAGATATGTTCTTTTCACAGAGCCACCTCAATTCCAAAGCATACACAAGACTGTGGTTGTGCAGCCAGGAGATACAGAAATGAAACCTTTGCTTCCCCTCATGGAGGGTCTGACTTAGCAAGATATAATTTAAAATGGTGTTGGTTTTTGAAAAATCCATTAATGAAAAGTATCAGGAGGCTGGGGATTTAGCTCAGTGGCTCAAGTGTTTTTCTAGTAAGTGCAAGCTTGTAAATTCAATCCCTGTTACAAAAGAAAAAAAAAAAAGAAAGAAAAAAGAAAAGTATCAGGAATGGAGTTAGAATTTACATAAATTTTAGCATAATTTATGGAATTCCATAGGTTGATAATTTTCAGGAGAAAGCAAAGCAGAGCAAAGAGGCAAGCAAGCTTGGCATGGTAGTGCACACCTGTAATCCCAGCACTTGGAAGGCTGAGGCAGGAGGATCACTATGAGTTTAAGGCCAGCCTGGGCTACAAAGAGAGTTCAGGGCCAGCTGTAGTGAATACCCTGTCTCAAAAAGAAAGAAAAGAAAAGAAACAGAAAGAGAAGGGAAGGAAGAGAGAGAAAGAGGGAAGGAGGGAGGGAGGGAGAGGGAGAGGGAGGGGGAGGGGAGGGGGGAGGGAGAGGGAGAGAGAGGGAGAGGGAGAGAGAGAGAGAGAGAGAGAGAGAGAGAGAGAGAGAGAGAGAGAGAGAGAGAAACAGAAAGGAAAAGGAGCCCCTGTGGATTGTGAACAAATGCAACACTTCACATCAGCAGGTGCTCACACTTTCTCTCCCCCACAGCAACCCTGCGCTCACCACATCTGAAGTGAGTTGTGGGGATGCCCACAGATGCCAAAGCACTGCCACAGCTGCTGTCAATCCCCTCTACAATGTGACCCCATCTTTTTCGGTTTTAGTGTTCCTCAAGGACAGTACCAGTTACTAATAATAAAAAAAAGTAGTAATTTCACTTCTGAAAGTAAACTCTTAGAACAAAGGAAGAAGTAGGGCCTTCTAACCAGAAAGATGGCCCCCTTGGGAGGTTATCCACACAGGAGCTCGGAAAGAAAATACAAGAAACTCACATCTGACATGTAGATTTTTGTGCTGCTTTTATCAAACACCTCGATTGTAATGGCATACACCCGTTCCACCTCCAGACTCCACCGGTCTCCAGGGGAGACTGTGAAACCTACATACAACACCAAGAAACAAACATTAGAAAACGTCAACGTGTTTCTATAATGAAGCAAAAAAATACAAACTTTTGAGAATCAAAACTTGCTAATGCAGAGATGATTTCCAAAGCAGATCTTTTTTTCTCTCAAGCTGTTTAAATATTTATTTATTTATTTATTTATTTATTTGAGGCAGGGTCTCACTATGTAGCCCAAGCTGGCCTCAAACTTTGCAGAAATCTTCCTAGTTCAGCCTCCAAATGCTGGGATTACAGGAGTATGCCACTACACCCCACAATAAACTGCTTAGTTTAAAGTTTCAAAAATGTTGGTTTAATTTAGATCAGATCAGCTATAAAGAAACACTGTCACTTAATGTGTAGACAAGAACTAACCAAAATTTAGGCTCATTAGTAATGTGTCAGGCAAAAAGTTTCAGTGTCAAGCCGGGGATTTAGTTCAGTGGCCTAAGTGCCTGCCTTGCAAGCACATGGTCATGAGTTTGATTCTTGATACAAAAAAAAAAGCTTCAGTGTGGTTCAGTCAGACTGTTTCAGTGATATGAGAATATTTGGATTCTCTTTTCTTTGTATAAAGTTTTATTTCCTATCACAAAGATTGCATTGATTGTATTTTCATAATGTTTTACAATCTGTTTTGAGATGTTTCACTGTTGCAGACAGCTAACCAGAAAAATTAGTGAAAACATATCAAAGTCAAGTTGCATTAAAAGTTAAGTCCCAAAATGAAAGTTGAGACCTTAATAGGTCTCTAGTTTCTAATGCACTCATTTTAGTGAAATCAGTTAAATTAGTCAACTTTCTGGAAACCATTATCAAATATACCTAAAAATCCGGGGTCTACAACATATATGGTGCGATTTGGGAGTACAGATACAGATCGCATATGGACATCTTAATTTGTGCTTAAGGAAATCATATGAGCCATAGTTGGGTGAAAAGGAAAGGGGGGTTGCCAAAGAAAAGAATAACAAATATACAGACAAAAACAAACAAAACTTCTGTCTTGAATTTCCTTTAAAAAGTGAAAACTTATATATTTTTTTGGTACTGGGAATTGAATTCAGGATCTTGAGCTTACCAGGCAAGCACTGTGCCATTGAGATCTATCCCCAGCCCTGAAAGCTTATTTTTTATTTTTTATTTTGTTTTTGTTTTTGTCTTTTTGAGACAGGGTCTCACTATGCAGCTCAAGCTGGCCTTGAGCTCACTTTGTAGCCCTCCTGATCTCAAACTCACAGCAATCCTCCTGCCTCAGCCTCCTGAGTGCTGGGATTACAGGCGTGAGCCACCATGCCCAGCTGTTTTTGTCTTTTTGAGACAGAGTCTTACTATGCAGTTTCAACTGGCCTTGAACTTACTTTGTAACCCAGGCCGGCCTCAAACTTGTAGTGACCCTCCTGCCTCAGCCTCCTAAGTGCTGGGGCTCCAGGTGTGTGCCATCATGCCTGGCACTGGAAAGTGAAAATTTAAATTTATACACCTCTAGGAAAAGTCTGAGGGATATTTTGTTATCACAGGAGTCCGGTATTCTTGAATTTCAATTTTGAAGGAGATAGAATGAGAGAGAGATGATTATGGTCTGTGTTCTAAAATTTCATTTAGTACAAAGCTCTTTCTCCAAATAAATTCTTACACAGGAGCCCAGCATGGAATGCAGGGCAAAGCAGTACCAAGTCTGGAGCAGGGTACCCTCTGGCTGAGGAGATGGATGGTGGCAATGGAGGTGGAGGGGCACATCTGTCACCCGGCCACATTCCTAGAGCTCCACTGATGGTTCTGAAGTCACTAGTTGATTTTCTATTATCTGTAGCAAATATTTAATTCCAAAATTTTGTTTTGTTTTTGTTTTTTGAGATAGGGTCTCACTGTATAGTTTAAACTAGCCTTGAACTCATACTAGTGCTACTGCCTCTGCCTCCTGAGTGCTGGGATTACTGTCATGCCACCCCATGGCTATCTCAAAATGTTTTCTACTGGGCATCAAAAAATACTTCTAGGTCACTTGTATTTCATACCACCCTGTCCCCTTTGATTAAGTTCTAGTGGAATTATGAATGCATTCAAATGTCAGTTTCCATACAATCTAGCTAGGGATATGCTCCCCTCTCACAATATACTATATCTAAAAGCTAATAAAATTATTTTTGCTTTCAGAATTTGTAACTGAAAGCTAGGCATGATGGCACACACCTGTAATCCCAGCATGTAGGAGGCAGGAGAATCATCAGCTCAAGGCTAGCCTGGACTACACAGGAGACCCTATAGAAAATGAAAGAAAGAAAGAAATTCTCTTTAAGTCTTTTCAAATTTATACCTTTTTTTTTCTTCTTCAGAACCATGTTAGGTTTTTTGTTTTGTTTTGCCTGTGGTAGTGGGGATTGAACTCAGGGAATGCTAAACTACAGTCCCAGACTTTTTTTTTTTCTAGTAGTGGAGACTCAACATAGGCTACATACCCAGCCTTTTTCTTTTTCATTTTGAGACAATGTTTTGTTAAAACACTAAATTGGTCAGCTGGCTAAATTTATAATCCCCCTATCTCAGCATTCCAGAGTGCCAGGATTGTAGGCTTGTGCCACCATCACTGACCTAAAACTGTACTGCTTTAATTGACAAAATGGCCCAGAGGTGGGTGTGGTGTCACACCTGTAATTCTAGCACTCAGGAGGCTGAGGCAGGAGGACTGCATTGAGTTTAAGGATAGTCTGGACTGCATAGTGAGTTCAAAGCCAGCCTGAACTGTATAGTGAGACCCTGTTTCAAAAAACTAAACTAAACTACAAAAAAGTCCTATTGCATCACTTCCTACTTAAAACAGCCTTTTGGTTTTGATCTTACCTCATACTCTTATCAGATTTTACCTGCTCAATTACCATGAAATTTCTCTTTCTGATTTTCCTTTTTGGTGTTTTGGCTTTGGGGTTTGAGCCCAGGGATGCTTTACCACTGAGCTAGATCCCAGGTTTTTTTTTTTTTTTTTGTACTGGGGATCAGACCCACAACCTCGTGCTTGCCAGGCAGGTGTTTGTGCCACTGAACTAAATCCCCAGCCCACTGTTATTTTTTGTTTTGAAACAGGGGTTCATAAATTGCCCAGGCTGGCTTTGAATTTGTGTTCTTCTTGCCTCAACCTCTCCCTAGTAGCTAGGATTAAAGTCATGTACTGCTGTATGTAATCCTATTACTTTTTTAAAAAAGTACTTTTTATCAGTACTGGGGATCGAACTCACAACCGCCTGCTTACAAGGCAGGTACTTATGCCACTGAGCTAAATCCCCAGCCCCTACTTTTTAAAATAGCCCTATTACTTCTTAAACATACTTTCTGAGCCTCCTTTCAAGTTCCTCTTCTTCCACATAAACCTTAAAAGTTGGTATTATACAATGCTGTCTTTGACCAACTTCTATTTTCCCTATGTGATTTTTGTCTATCAAAGCTTCAACTATCACTCATCTATGTACTCATAATTTTCAGATATCTATGTTCATCCTGGACCTTTCTTACTAGATGTACAGTGAACATATCTGCTTGAATATTTGGTTATAGCGTTACCTCACATTACCATGTGAAAAACTGGATGCATTATCTTTCCCCTTAAACCTACTTCTTTTCTTAGGTTCCCTGTTTCCATGAACAGTATCACTAACCACCCTCTACCAGACACTGGGAAGATTATGAATAGTCACCATCCATATTCTAAAGAAAGACACATAGATAGACAAAATATTTTTAATATTTGCTATTTTGGAATAAACAACACTATAATCTGAGAATATGGAAAATATGTGTATAAGTCTGCCTGTCAAGGACGTGCCTGACAACACTGGTGGGGCTAAGTACTGAATGACTTACATTTATTTTATAGGTGCTATTGTGATTGTCGGCAAATGATCTATGCCAGGGTTGGTGAACCTTATAGAGCTTTCAAGTTTGCCACCACTGGGGTAGGCATTTGAGGTGGTTAAGCTTAATAAGCTTCAACTTGGTTGGATTGGAAGCCAGCATGGAGCTTAGAAAAGCACATTTTTGGGTGTGCCTTGGTGTGTTATGGAGATGTGACCTGTGTACAACATTTGGTCTCTTATTCCTTCCTCTCTGGCACTGTTTCTTTGGTATGCTTCCCAATTCCTTTGAACTAAACATCTTTCCTCTGCTGTGCATTTCTTCCCTGATGTTTCTTCCTTGGAGCCAGCCATGGACAAAATTCTTTTAAACTGTGATCCATATAAAATCTTTCCTCTTTTAGTTGTGAGTGTTGGGTATTATGTTTTAGTGACAGGAACGCTAGTACAAAAAACTGACATCAAGAGTGGGGTCACTGCTGTAACTATATCTGCCCATGGGCTTTAGAAATATTTGGGACTGCTTTTGTAAGAAGAGTCTGAAAAGCTTTGGAATTGTCTGTTAGGTAAGCCATAGAATGCTGTAAGCATAGCCTGATGGAGAGTTATGGTTGAAACTCTGAAGACTAGAATATAGACATTAAAAGCCAAGCTCAGGAGGTTTCATTTGGGAATAAAAACTTCAATTGGAGGGGCTGGGGGTTTAGCTCAGTGGCATAAGCGCCTGCCTTGAAAGCAGGCGGTCATGAGTTCGAACCCCGGTACCGATAAAAAGGAAAAAGACAAAACAAAACAAAACAAAAAAAAAAAACCAAAAACTTCAATTGGACTATAAGCCATGTATGTTACATCCTGGTGAAAAAATCTGTGCATTTAATTTGAGAATAGGGCCCTCAAAGCCCCCATTTAAGAAGGGACTTCTAGAAAATTATTTCCTTCTGATTCGTTTTACACTGTTCAGCTACCCAGGCCATAAGAGACCACTATACCCATGGTCCAATGGGGCATGGCTACTGCTTGAACTAGCAAAAGACTTCTGTATTATTCATATGATGCTGGTTTTATAGGTATGCAAAGTTAAAGAGTTGTGGGGACAGTTTCCACTACCAAAACACATAAATATCCCCAGCTCCAGACATAAATGTGCCTCTCCCTTGAAGAACTTCACTTTATTTCTTTGAGTCTGTATTTTAAATTCTGCCTAATAAATGCCTTTATTTCTCTTGCTGACATGTACTGAAAATTCATTTTCTGTTATGAAAGTCAGTGAACCTGAAATCTACCCTTGTATGGGGTGAGATAAGGCTCCTCATCTCCACTTTGGGGACCACCAAGCCCTGGCTGGTAATGTTTTGTTTGGCAAACTACAAACAGGACATAAAACAGGCATTAAGATTATAATCTTGAAGCTGAATCTTGAATATTTGGGAGGTTGAGGCAGGAGGATTGAGGCCAGCCTAGGCTACATATATAGTGAGTTCAAAGCTAGCCTGAATTATTATAGCAAAACCCTGTTTCAAAAATAAAACACACACACACACACACACACACACACACACACACACACACACACACAAAACAAACCTAAAATCTTGACCATGAAAGGATGATGGCTTATCAAAGAACAAAATCTACCTTCCTACGTCTCCTTTAAATCAGTGAGAGTGAAACTTTTGATCCTTGGCTAGGTATGTTCAGGAGCCCCTCCAGTCTCAAGCAGCCATAAGAAGATGGACAGACCTTTGATCCTTATCAGTCTCTTAACAGGGGTCAAAATTTGGGTGGAGGGGGTGAGGAGAAATAAAATAGGTAGAAAGGATACATGAGAAAGTATAATTTAAAAATTGTGCTTTTGTTTAAGTCAATCCTGGACTATATAGCAAGACCCTGTATCAAAAAACAAAATGAAATAAAATTGTATTTTTAAGAAGAAGCAAAAGCGGAAACAAACTTTTGTAAGTAAGGAGGGGAAGAGGGGTTGAAGGGCAGGAAGGGGAATGGAAAAACCAAAGTTATATCATGTATAGATGTTAGACCGGAGATGTAGCTCAGTGGTAGTGTGCTTGCCTAGTGTGCCTAAGGCCCTCAGTTTGATCCCCACTATCACAAAAATAAACAAATAATATAGATACACACACAGACACAAATTCCTTATGATGAATGTGATCATTACTATACCTAAAATGTACCAATAAAGTTAATTTATAAAAAAAAAACAAGAGCTTTAGCATAAAGAAAAGACTTTAGAACACAGTCAAAATTACCCAAGGTTATCTTATTTGAACTCCTTGGGCATGTTTATACTACTTTTTTTTTTCTTGCCATGTCACACCCAAAATTCCTTAAAGATGCATCTAAATCCATTAATTTAAAATGAAGAAATCTAATCTTAAGCAAAACAATAGCATGGGCTCCTGATTGCCTCCTGTAAAATGGCCATTCTGTGAATGAGCCGTAATTTTTATTCCTATTGGTGGGCCATTGCTATTCTCCTATAAGCCAACTCCAATCTTCCTATAGATCCACAAATCCCATGACCAAAACCACAAATATTAATAAATAATAAATCCTATCTAATGTCTCACCCCTTCCTTTCTGGTCTGGTTCTCTTCTCTGCTTCCCAACCACCATTAACTAAGCATCTTCCTGCTACTCCTTTTTGCCATGATGTCCTTGCCTTGGAGTCTACTAACCATGGAGTGAATCGCTGAAACCATGAGCCAAGTTAAACTTTTCCTCCATGTTTACAGCAGCACAGCTTGTAATAGCTAACTTTTGGAAACTACCCAAATGCCCATCAATCAGCGAATGGATTTTTTTAAAAAATGTGGCTTTTTAATACAATGGAATAATACTAAGCCATAAAGAAGGATGAACTTCAGATATTTGTAGCTAAATGGATGGACCTTGAGATCATACTCCTAAGTAAAATAAATCAGACACATATGTAAATGTCACATTGTCTCTCTGGTTTGATAAACTGAAAGTGTAAATAAGAACTAAACTGTGTAACAGAAACTGTGAAATAGAAAGAAACTGTTAAAAAGCAAAGGGGAACTAGGGATGGGGCAGGGGGAAAGGAAGGAAGAGAAAAAAATGAGAAAGATGGGTAAATTTTTAAAAAGAGTACAATGGAAACAAAGCTTTATAATTAAGGAGGGGTAAAAATAAATAAATAAATGAGGGGGAAAGGGAATGAAAGGAGGGGAGGAGAATGAGGAAAAGAGGAGGAATCGATATGTATCATGTGCAGGTACAAATTCACTGTGACGAAGGTGTTCACTACGTTTGTGTAGAATGTACAAATAAAATTAATAAAAAACCTTTTCTTCCTTAAATTGTGGGTGTTGATGTGTCTTGGCAACAGGAAAGCTGACTAATTCTGTGCTTTAAAATGACTAAAGAACAACTTTGTTCAATAGCTTTGTTAATATGAGTAAGACAATATAAACAACTAAAAGCATTCTACAAGAAATACTGACCCCTTTCCTCTGATGTGCTACCCTATCTCCCTCAGTTCCTCTATGCGGAACACGTTCCTACTTTAGGATCCCTGCAACTGCTCCTCTTCTGGCAGCTCTTTCACCCAGATGTCTACATGGCTTATTTCTCCAATGTCCCCTAACCCAGCAGGACTTCCTAAGCTACCGTAGGTTACAGCAGTCTATATCCCCAGCACTTAGGGTACTATTGAGCATACAAAAGGAATACAATTAATATATGCTTAATATTTTTTTTCATATTCAAATAGTCAAACTTAGGAAATATTCACAAATCAATGAGAAATAAAGTCCGAACTATATTTCAATTTTCTGATAATTTAAGTAAATTCTATTTTGTTTTCATTGACACTAACTGGAGCTCTATGTACAGCTTCTCTTTGTTTAATCCTTATGTAGCAGTTTTAGTAAATTTAAAAATTATTCTCAATAGTACAGGTGTTGGGGCTAGATATTTAGCTGAGCGTCATAAGTGCCTGCCTTGCAAGTGTGTAGTTGTGAGTTCGATCCCCGGTACAAAAATAATAATAATATAGGTGTAGGGGCTGGGCATTTAGCTCAGTGGCATAAGCGCTTGCCTTGCAAGCAGGCAGTCGTGAGTTCGATCCCTGGTACCAATGAAAAGGAAAAAGACAAAATAATAATAATAATATAGGTGTAAAACTGATCAAGATGTAATACATACATGTACCATTATGTATCACAAACACATATTAAAAAGAAAACACAAGAAGATTGTTTCGAGTTCAAGGCCAGCCTGAGCTACATAGCAAGACCCTGTCTCAAAACAAAACATATATACAAGAAGTTACTCTCAATTCCATTAAAAATATTTCTTTGAAGACAAGGGTCTTTCTGTGTAGTTCAGGGTAGCCTTGAACTTAGTCTGTAACCCAGGCTGGTATTGAACTCAGTGATCCTTCTGTCTCAGCCTCCCAAGTACTGGATTATAAGCATGTTCCACCATGGTTGTCTCAATTTCAAAAATATTAAATATCTACTTCAGATAATACCATCTTCTTCAATTACTTATCATGTGAAAACAGGAAAAAATAAATAAAATTCATGCATGTTTTCCAAATTCCATTTTCTCTAGTCCCCTAATTATAACTGAAGATGAAAATAAGCATTTATGTCAACAGAACCCAAGTTCCAACTACTCTCTTTTTCTTATCTACCCTTTATTAGAAGTTATGACAAAAAAATTTATAGCCCTTTGTTTAAAATAAAACATACAGGGCTGGGCATGTGGCTTAGTGGTAGAGCTCTTGCCTTGCATGTACAAGCCCTGAGTTTGATCCCTAGCACCAAAAAAATAAAAATGAAACATAGAAAAACAGATAGTAGCATTCTAATCAATCTCAACAGATTATTTTAACCAAGGAACACATCTAACACATGCAAAGAAGTGACGATTGGCAGCTAAAACTTGAACAAAAGGATACTTTTGTGAATAAAGACAAGATTAGTTTGGCCTTGTTGGAAGGCAGTCACTGTGGCTGTTTTATCATCCAGTAAAGCCACTTTGCTAGACAGAGATTGCTTATGTGCAGCTCTGTGATCCTGTAATTCCAGTGTATAATGTTCCAGGGGAAATTTCACCTCTGTAAGACATAAAAGATATATAAATGTAATGGCAACAGCCATTCCAGTGATGGTGTTGGATTTTTTTTTTTCTTTTAGTACCGGGAATCAAACTCAGGACCTTACACTTGCCAGGCAGACACTGCGCTCTGAGCTAAATCCCCAGCCCCATACTGTTGGATTTTAAGAAAATGATCTAAAGCAAGCCTAAAATAGATTATGACCTGTTTCTGATTTCTCTCCCACTATAAACTTCTAGAGATAGCTACTGGGGAACAGAAGATAATATATGAGTTGATTGTCGGTATTGCTTGTATTCTACATGCCTATCTAGTAAACTAAAAAACAGGAGGGATCACCATTAAATAAGGGAAAGAGCTAATTCACACTTTCTAAACTCAATAGGACTTCTGGGGTCAATAGAGTGATTAAGCTTTTGGCTAAGGTACTGAATTGCTCCAGAGACAACTTTTGCAAAGATCAGTGATTATGCAAGTCCCTTCATGTGCCCCACAAAAGTTAATAAATTTTTGGTGATTGTTCCTTTTCTCTTTCTCTCTCTCTTCCTCCTTCCCTCATTAGTTTTTGTCTTTTTGAGACAGAGTCTCGCTATGCAGTTCAGGCTAGCCTTGAGCTCACTTTGTAGCCCAGGCTGACCTTGAATTTGCAGTAACCTTCTGCAAAATTCAGATGTCAGTGGTAGCCTAAATATGTCATGAATCTGTTTCAAGATATGGAGAATATTTCGTTCCAGTATTAGTTCAAGTACAGTGGTTAAGATGTACTTGGTCAGAAAATCTTTAAAAACAAAGAAGTATTTCTCATATATATGAGAGTGTTGCTTGTTATCAACAGAAAGAGCTTAGGAAATGTGAGTTACAGGAAATGATAAATTGCCTTACCTGTCATTCTTCCCTGAACCATTTTTGCAGCTTGGTACTTAATATATGTTCCTACTAAGAGATAAATATCATGGGACGGTATAAGAAAGATATTCTCTAAAACAAGGAGACGTATTAGTGCTGATGCCACTTTCTAAAAGAGAAAGGAAAAAAAGCAAGATAGTTATGCTGCTAGCTTCTTTTAGATCATTGAAAAGTTTGTGCTAATATCATTTGGAGAATTTGTTATGCCCATATCTTTACTCTGAGCAAATACTTTGAAGGTAACAATACACAATGTATTCACTATTGTTATTCTTCTATTATTTTCCTGTGAAAAAAAATTTTTTTTGATACTTAGGATCGAACTCATGATCTTGTGCTTGCCAGGCAGGTGCTTGTGCCACTAAGCTAAATCCCTGGTCCTTGTTATGAAATTTTATTTTTTCCATAAAATAAAAATAAAGAGAAGGTGGGCGTGGTAGCGCACGCCTGTCATCCCTGCACTCGGGAGGCTAATGGAGGAAGACTGCTGCAAGTTCAAGGCCAGCCTGGGCTACAAAGTGAGCTGAAGGCCAGCCTGAACTGCACAGCGAGACTCTGTCTCAAAAAGACAAAAAATAATGAGGGGAGGACAGGAGAAAGAAAATGTTTCCATGGCCAAACTCCTTAAGGCTATCTTCTTTGTTAAAATCTTAAGTCTTAAAAGTTTCTTTCAAATCTAGGCAAAGACCTGATGAACAAAACCCTGATCGCACAGGAATTATCACAAAGAATCAACAACTGGGATCTCATCCTATTGAAAAGCTTTTGTATAGCAAACAAAACTACCAACAGAGTGAACACATAACACAATGTGGGAGAAAATGTTTGCCAGTTGTACCTCAGACAAAGGATTACTATTGAGAATATACAAAGAACTCAAAAAAATCACTCCTTCAGATTTAAAGACCCAATCCAAAAATGGGCATCTGAGATGAATGCAAACTTCCCAGATGAAGAAATATGAACAAATAAAAATGTGAAAAATGTTCAACATTGCTAGTCATTTGAGAGATACAAATTAAAACAACACTGAGAATCTGCTTCACCCTGGAAAGAATAGCTCTTATAAATAAATCAACCAATAGCAAATGCTAGAGGGGCTGTGGGAGAAAAAGGAGTACTTTTCCACTGTTGGTGGGAGGGCAGACTGCACAGTGGTGCAACCACTGTGGAAATTAGAGTGCAGATTCCTCAAAAAACTAAGATTGGAAGTCCCATTCAACCCAACTATTTCCCTTCTGGGTACTGATTAATTTTGGCACTCAGTCTGAAGCAGAGCAGAGAAAATGAGAGAGATAACAAGGAGACAAAGGAGGAGGCCTTTAATGGGGGCATGGGAGAGTTTCATAGGGGTGTAACAGCTCTCAACAAGAACAAAGAAGTGGGACTACTTTTATCAGTTTGGGCTGTGGGGAGGAGTTTGGGAGGTGGGCAAAATAACGCATCAACTGATGATTTGAAGGAGCATCTGCCTGTGTAAAATAGGAAACAAAAAGATTTATTGGGGTCTTAGGTGGAGTGTTGGGTAGTTGTGGAATCTTGGGATTGGAGAGGGCTCAGCGCATACCCAACAAGGCAGCAGGAAGTTTATCTCTGGAATGAGAAGAGAACATAGAAGTCATCTTGGAGAGCTAAGATGTTTCCCTCAGTTTGGTACTAAGTTGGGTGGATGTCATGTTATAGATAGCTAAGCCCCAGGCTATCAGAACCTATTAGATATCTTCCCAGAATTAAAAACATCGTATCACAGCAATGTACATGCACCCATGTTCATGGTAGCACAATTTGTAGTAGCTAGATGTTGGAAACACTCGACTGAGGAGAGGAAAAAAAAGATGTGGTACTTTTATACAATGAAGTACTACTCAGTCATAAAGAAGGATAAACTGGAGACTTTTGTAGCTAAATGGATGCAACTTCAGACCATATTCATAAGTGAAATGAATCAGACACACATACATAAACATTGTGTTGTCTCAGTTGTGTCAGATGCTGAAAGAAATGACATTATATATATGTATTTGTATATATATATATAAGTATATTAAAAAGATAACTAAAATAGTTATACTACTGATTTCTTTGTGGTCATTGAAGAGAAGGATTTGTGCTGGTACTATCTGGACAATTGAATGCAGATGTCTTGTGCTCTGGGTGAATGATTTGGGGATGACAATGAACAATGTATATACTATTGTTGCCCCCAGATTAATGTGTTTTGAAGTTTTTATTTTTTTCTCTTTGAAATAAAATGGATTTTAAAAAAATTCTCTTTCCTAATCACAAGTCATAATTTCAGTTACTCTGAAAAGTGATCATAAATCATAATACTGTTAACTTTCAAGATCACTTAACTTTCTACGTCATTCAGACTAAAAATAACAATAGCCTAAAAGAGAAGTCAGTGGGAATGGTGGTGCACCCCTGTAATCCTAGAATTCTGGAAGCTAAAGCAGGAGGACTGATTCAAACTCAAGTCAGCGTGGGCTACATAGTGAGTTCAGGGCCAGCCTGAACTACACAGTAAGACTCTGTCTCAGAAAAACAAAAACAAAGGTTTTTCAATTAAATGATGAATACTGGTTAGAGGGCTTATATTGCAAATAAATATAAGAAACTATTTTCCATATAGGAACGAGTATTAGATGGAATATGAAAGTATGTAGCATAAACGTTTTACCTTATAGAATGATTCATAAATTCGAACTTTTACAACAGCAATACCAGTTCTAACACCCGACACCAAAATCATATCTCCTCGTTTCTCCTCTTTTTCCATCTCAACTATATAGCCTGGGGGAGAATATTCTGCTTCAGAGTATTTCAGAATCCTAGAGATATGAAACAAAATTTGTTTCTAGCAGAATCAAATAGGGTCTTCTTACAAAATTTCCTAGAAGACTTTTTTCTAATTTTTATTTTTGTCTTTTTGAGACAGAGTCTTGCTATGCAGCTCAGGCTAGTCTTGAGTTCACTTTGTAGCCCAGGCTGGTCTCAAACTCCCAACGATCCTCCTGCTTCAGCCTCCCAAGTGCTGGGATTTATAGGCGTGAGCCACCACGCCCAGCTATTCTTACAAGACTTTAAACATAGCTTCTCTTTTCTTTCTTATCTACAAAAGGTAGAGTTTTAAAACTTATTTTCCACAAGGACTATAAGAAAATTATTTAATATCCATGTGGCTAAAACTGTAGAACTAATACTGAGTGGTCTGAGATCTGTTCCTTGGTACTGAATTCACAGTAGTCTACTGATTCTATTGCAGCATGTGCAGACTCCTTGAACAAAACTGCCAGCAAATACACCTGGCTCAAGTAATTGTATAGTACTGAGCTCAGACTCAAATTAAACTATCATAAAGGTACTTACATACACTGTGTGTCATTTTATCAAAGATATTTTCCCCAGTGAATTTATTGTTTCAAAAAAGTCTAGACAGCAGGTTATTGAAGTTCATACAAATGGTAGGTATTCAGTGTGCCACCCAAAAGCAAAGGTCTCTTTCAAAGTGAGATGATTTATGTTTGGTTTCAAATTTACCTAATTTTGCTAAACAGTTCTTCTCTTGCTGACTTGTCATCCTGAGCAATGCTCCATTCAAACATCATCCCTGCCAAACTGCTGAAAGTATTTCCTGTAGAGCGAGCCAAAAGCAGATAAGACATAATTATATATTCAAAAATTTTCAGCTATCTGCAACAAGAAAGGGAAATCTAACTAGAAAAGTATATTAGATTTCTTTCTGTAACAAATGGAAGCACTATTATTAATCAGTTAAAATATGTATGAAGACTATTCCTCTATAATGATATAAGTACTGAGGCCATGCAAATGTTCTAAAAGGAAAAAAAGAGTCAAGCTGATTAAATTCTGATTAACAAAAAGTATGCTACATTTCTTCTATTCCTTTCTACAGAAAAGCCACCTTCATAGGCTTAATCCATTAACACACATTTTTATGAAATAAGATTCCAGAGTAATTCAGTTTTAGATTTAAAAAATTACTCTTAATAGTTTACAGAGAAAGGGCAATAAAAAGAAATGTTTTAAATCCCAGCACTCAGAAGGCTGAGGCAGGAGGATCACTGTGAGTTTGAGGCCATCCTAGAATACACAGTGAGCCCAAGACCAACCTAAACTACATAGTAAGACCTTGTCTCAAAAAAAAAAATAGGAAAGAAAGAAAGAAAAATACACACCATAAAATCATTATTATATTTTATACAGGGGATTGAACTCATGACCTCACACTTGCCAGGCAGTCACTTATGACAGCTAAATCCCTGGCCACACCATAAAAATGTTTTAATAGCATATTACAGAAATAGTATAGTATTATTGTAACAATATAAAAGTAGTCTCAAGAAATATTAACTTAAATTTTAACAAGTTTACATTTAATCTTCCTTGTCGATAAGAAGTGGGCAGAGCTAATGAGGGATAGGGATATCACAGTTGCTTAGCACAATTGAGATAATGCTGGGTTCAATCCCTAGGACCAAGGACCAAAATACCCAAGCCAATCGTGTGTGTGTGTGTGTGTGTGTGTGTGTGTGTGTGTGTGTGTGAATGAAGGTTGGACCCAGGGCTTAGCACTTGCTAGGCAAGTACATGACCACTGAACTATGCCATCTCTTTTTTTTTAAGCTATCTTAACTGGTTTTTTAATATATCTACATATGTTGTTTCTTTCAGCTTCTCACACTAGTGAAACAACACAGTGTTTACATGTGTGTCTTATTTATTTCACTAATGAGTATGGTCTCAAGTTGCATCCATTTAATTATAAAAGTCTCCAGTTTATTCTTCTTTATGACTGAGTAGTACTTCATTGTATAAAAGTACATCTCTTCTGTCCATGCCTCAGAAGATGGACATCTAGGTTGTTTCGAAGATCTGGCTATTACAAATTGTGCTGCTATAAACATGGGTGCACATACTGCTGTGGTATGATGTTTTTAATTCTTTTGAGAGCTCCCACTTCTTTTTAAATTTTATTTTGAGAGTCTGATATATTACCCAGGCTGACCTAGAACTTCAAATCCTCCTTAGTCTAGGAGAGTGGTGGCTAAGTGTGGGAGGCTGAGGCAGAAGAATTGCTGCGAGTTTGAGACCAGCCTAGGTTTCATAGTGAGTTCAAAGCTATGCTGAACTACACAGTGAGACCCTGTCTCAAAAACAAAATAAAACAAACAAACAAAAACCAAGTAGCTGGGATTATAGTTGTGTACCACCATGCCTTCCTTTAAAAATGTTCATTGTTGATGTAAGAACTATCAACAGAAGCTCAGTGGCAGGGCTGGTGTAGTGACTGTTTAGTGATGGATGCCTGGCATGCATCCCCAGCACCACCAAAAAAAAGAAAAAAACCCCAAGAAACTCAGTGGCAGAATTTAGATATTTGATATGAATTTGATGACAACAAAAATTAATAATATCAGGAATTTTTATGCAAGAGAGTAGCTATAGTCAGAATTGCTACTTCTTGCTGGGTGCAGCAGGCATACCTGTAATCCTAGCACTTAGAAGACTAAAGCAGGAGGATTGCTGTGAGTTCAAGGACAGCCTGGGCTACATAGTGAATTTAAGACCTGCCTCAATTACAGAGCAAGACCTTGTCTCGAAAAGAAAAATAAATAAATAAATACTTCTTTATCAACATGATTTCCAAACCAAAAATAAATGTCATTTCCAATGTGCTTTTGTCATTTAAATTCCTGTTTCCAAGTGCTAAAGATAAATGAGTGTTACTTCATTTTAGGTCATTTTGTTGAATGCTGTGAAGCTCTTTACCTTCAGTATCCAATGCCCTCACTATCAGTTCCAGAGGTGAGTCATCTACATAGAGTTCCCGGGTCCGAGATATAATTTCAATGCTGTTTATCACATCAACCTTAACATCACAGCGTAGTTCATGGTCAGTCACTACAACAAACAAAAAACTATTGAATCCAACAGGTCACGAATCTATTAGATGTCTCAAATGCTCAAAGCTTATTCAATTTTTTCTGTTTTTGGTACTAGGAATCAAATTTAGGACCTTGTACTTGTCAGGCAGGTGCTTTGCCACTGAGATATACCCCTGGCCCTCAAAGCTTATTCTAAAGGTTTGGTTTGTTTGTTTGTTTTGTTACTATATAGTTAGGCTGGACTCAAACTCATGGCAATCCTTCTGCCTCAATCTCTCAAGTGCTGGGATTACAGTCATGTTTCTAAAGATTATTAAAATAAAAAGGACTATAAAGAAAACAGCATGAAAAGATGTAAGAATCTTTGTTTATAACAAGACACTAGATCATAGTTCCCAAACATCCATCTACGATAATTTTTTAGGGCCAAGGATATAGTGCATGGCACAGTGCCTGCCTGGCAATCTTAAATTTGATTTCTGATACGAGAGAGAGAGAGAGAGAGAGAGAGAGAATCTATAATGGTATTTTCATTCATCTATGGAAAAATAAGAAAAGTAGGAGTTTTTAAAATAGTGATATTCAGATGTGGTGGTGTATACTAGTACTCAAGAGGCTGCAGAAGGAGGATTGCTGCCATATCAAAGCCAGCTTGAACAAATAGCAAGACTTTGTATCAAAAAACAAAACAAAGGGATTTAGCCCAGTGGCATAAGTGCCTGCCTGGCAAGCACGTGGTCATGAGTTCAATCCCCGGTACCAAAACAAAAAACAAAAAATAAAAGTGATAAAATTAAATCTTATTTAAAATATTTATTTATCAAGATTTTGTTTTGTTTGCCCGGACCAGGAAATTAAAATGCCTGAGACTGGCCAGGCTGTCCTTTCCCATTTCTTTTATCACACTGTACAAGATTAAACTCAAGCCAGTTGCCTACAGGGCTAGGACTGCTTTCAACATGGCTCTCAGCAATACTGATATACAAAAGCAGATCAAGCATATGATAGATTTCCCTGAGCAAGAAGCCAAGGAGAAAGCAGAAGAAACAGATATGAAAGCAGAGGAGCTCTACATTGGGAAAGGTTCTCTTGCATAAACTGACAGACAAGATTATGGAATACTGTGGGGCATGGTGGGACATGCCTGTAATCTCAGCACTCAGGAGGCTGAGGCAGGAGGATCGCCACAAGTGGGCAGCCTGAGCTAGACACTGAGTTCAAGGTCAGCCTGAACTACAGAGTGAGACTCTTGTCTCAAAAAAACAAAACAAACAAATAAAAACACTCAAACCAAACAAAGCAAAAAAACCAAAAAAGATAAATTATGGAATACTATGAGAAAAAAAAAAACCATGTTGAGCAGTAGAAGAAAATTCAGATGTCCAACTTGATGAACCAAGCAAGGCTCAAAGTCTTCACGGTAAGATGACCTTATTGCCAGTCTGCTAACTGAAGCAAAATAGAGGCACATGTAAATTAAAGAGAGACTCAGCAAGGTGGTAAAAGATACAACCAGGTCCCAAGTGCTGCTGGATGGACTGCAGAGTTCATATCACTTTCTGGCTCTCTGACTGTGTATACAGGAAACAAGATTTTGCGGTAAACACTGTGGTACAAAAAGCGATCTCTGTGCACATAATCACCATCCAGAAGGATGTTGATGTGTCCACTGACTAGCCTGTAGAAACAACTGGTGGAGTTGAGATTCATAATGAGGATCATAAATTAAAGGTTTCCAACACCTGCAAAACCAGATCTGGTAGCCCAGATGATACCAAAAGTAGGGAGAGTCTTATTTGGTACCAATAGGCAAGAGTTTTGTTGATAATGAGGGTTTCGTTATGTAGTCCTAACTGGGCTTGAACTTTCAGTGATCCTCCTGCCTCAGCCACCCCAGTGCTGGAATTATAGACATCTGACACCATGCCCTGCCCACCTTTTTTTTTTTCTTTTTTTTGGTACCGGGGATGGAACTCATGACTGTGTGCTTGCAAAACAGGTACTTATGCCACTGAGCTAAATCCCCAGCCCCTGCCCACCGTTTTTCTTTTTCCTTTTTTTTAAGCTACCAAGAATCAAACTCAAGACCTCATACTTGCCAGGCAGGCACTGCACCACTAAGCTAAATCCCCAGCCCCAACTTTTTTATTTTCAACAGGATCTCACTATTTTATCTAAGCTATTCTCAAACTTGTGGGTTAAAATAATCCTCTTGTCTCAGACTCCAAGAAGCTGGACTAAAGACATATACCACCAAGCCTGGTGATCAGTTACAGTAAACTGTGCACAGGAAGGAGAAAATAGGAACTTAAGTGGAGAAAGCTGACAGATCCCAAGGTACCAAAGTTAACACTTCCAATGATAAATCACATGTACTCCCTTGAGATACTACAATGAGAAGGACTCTTCACCTGTGTATTTTCCCCCCAGAATTCACAACCTCACACTAATCATTTGACAAACCCAAATTGCAAAAGTACATAAAATAACTAATATAAAGTGTCAAAAGGGACTGAGAAATTTATTATAGAGAATACTAAGGAAACACAAAAACTTAGTTTTAAGTGATGAAGTATCTAGAATTGAATTCTAGAGCAAGAAACAAAAATGAAAACAAAAACAAACAAGACCCCAGGCCATTGGTGGAAAGTGAGTAAAGAGTATACAGGAATTCTCTGTAGCATCTCTTCTGTCCATTTAAAGTTTTTAATCTTTGATTAATGTTTAACTGAAAAAGGAAATCTGAAGTTAAAAGAACTAAAGAGCAAAACATTAGGTCTATGAGCCAAGAGAAGCTGAAATCTCACAAGATGTGCTGGCTGAATTATCATTATGGAAACCTTCCAAGGGTGACAAGGAAGGAAGGGAGGGGGGAGGGAGGGAACGAGGGAGAAAGGGCGAGTTTAGATAACACATGCACCGCGTAATTAGGCACCAGATAATCTGGCAACACATGGGAAATGAAATCCCTCTCTTCCAGTGGAGATATATGCAAGGCAATGATAACAGGAGTATCCATGACCTTACATAAAAAAATATGAAAATCCTTGTATTCATAATGCCTACTCATCTGATTACTAGCAGCAAGCTTTTCAACACAAGGTTACCATGGTCCATAAAGAAACAGTTACTTTGGGTGAATTACAATTAAATTGAGAGTAATTAGGGAAAATATCACATACTTTACTTACCTGCTTTTAACATGAAAAGTAAACAAAAAACTTTATTATGTTTTTTGCTTGGTTGGTTGGTTTTTGAGACAAGGTCTTGCTCTGTAGTCTAGGCTGGCCTTGAATTCACTATGTAGCCCAAGCTGGCTTTCAACTCGTGATGATCTTTCTGCCTCAGCCTCTAGAGTTCTGGGTGGGATTACAAGAGTATACCCGGGGCTGGAGATTTAGCTCAGCGGCATAAGCACCTGCCTTGCAAGCAGGCAGTCGTGAGTTCAATCCCCGGTACCAATAAAAATGAAAAAGACCAAAAAAAAAAAAAAAAAAAAAAAAAAAAAAAAAACAAGAGTATACCCAAGGGGCTGGGGATTTAGCTCAGCAGCATAAGCGCCTGCCTGGCAAGCAGGCAGTCATGAGTTCAATCCCTGGTACCGATAAAAAGGAAAAAAAAAAAAAAAAGAGTATACCCATGCCCGTCTTACTAGATATTATAACAAATATTTGCACCAGGCTATATTCTTAAATAAACATCAGTATACTTTAGGACCACACCACAGACAAATAATGAAAAAAAGAAAAATGAGTTAGAAAACTGAACCGCCATCCAGGGTCATGGAAAAGAAAAGGGATGTGTGTGTTTGTGTGTGCATGTGTATGTGTGAGAGAGACAGACAGAAAATGGGGGGGGGGGGAGAGGGAGAACAAGTATGACACCAATATTGAGAGAACCAAATGGATAAAAAGGAGTCAGACAAAAAAGCAGCAAAACTAGGTGCACTGGTACATACCTATAGTCCAAATTACCTGAAACAGTGTAGCAGAAACAGTGCAAGTTTAAGGCAACTTAACTGACTCAAAATAAAATAAAGAGGGCTAGAGAATGTAGCTCAGTGGTGGAGAACTTGCCTAGCATCTAGCATACATGAGGTCTGAGGTTTGATCTCCCATACTGAGAAAGAAAAAGAAAAAGAAAAACACAGCAGGAATAGCAAACATTTTTGGCTACTACATACTACTTTCGGAATCAGATCTTGATTATACTGCATTGCTGCAAATAGTCAATTAATAAGCATGTACTAGTCAATATGGTGGCACATGTTTGTAACTCCAGCACTCTGAAAGACTGAGAAAGGAGGATCTCAAGTTTGAGACCAGCCTGCAATTTAGGGAGACCTGTCTCAAAATAAAAAATAAAAAATAAAAAAAGGGTTGGACGTGTAGCTTAGTGCAAAGGCCCTAAATTCAATCACCAGATCCAAAACAAACCAACAATAAATGTAGGACCCAAAAAGTTTGCCACTGATAAAACTGAGATTAAAGAAATATTTACTTTTCATAATATAAACTTTTATATTCTTTCAATGTTTTATCAAATGGAGGTAATTCCTAGTCAAAAAGAAAAAAGTTATCTAGATGTCCCCACAAAACCTCAGGCAGTCATAGGTGGGGTTTTTCATAGGTAGCTGGACCTAGGGTTTGTGATCATGGCATTAAGGATGTGATGCTGGCATTCATGGTAAATGCTAGGACTAAGGGAACCCTGCCCTGGGTAAGAGTACACTACCCACCCTATTAGCTTAGACAGAATAGGGACAGAGGGCCAGGCATAGCTCAGCAGCACAGCCCTTGCCTGTCAAGTGCCAGGTCCTGAGTTCAATTCCTGGTACAAAAAAAAAGGGACAGAAAGAGGGCTGCTACTGTCACTGCTAATCGCTTGCTACTTCTTAACTAACTACTTTGCTGCCTTCTGCCTTCCATGAACTGTTTCTCCTCTGTGATGCCCCTCTGTCACGCCACACTGCCCTGGAGTCAGCCAGTTATGAATTGCAATCTCCACAGACTGTAA